CCGTACTATCCGTTCCATCATCATTATCGCTAGTATGCAGCCCGAGTGCCAATTACGAGCGCGTCTGCGCAGGCTTGTGGATAAACCCACGGAAAGCGCGCATCATGTAATTATACCTTCGCACACCACTCTGCACCGAGGGGGGTTGTATTCGCCGGGACGTCTTGTATTCGGAAAGCATTGCCATGCGGTTACTGAATAGACGTTACTTAGACACCTGCTTGACTGGCCAGTACATAAGACTGCCCTCGAGCTCGTATGTCGAGCCAGACCACAGGATTCGCAGTCTCTGACCGTCCACCATCACCTGCTTCAGTTATGGATACGAAAGAACCCATGTACGGTATACTATCGCCCGATATTATGCTTGAGGGTCTTCTACCCGGCTACAGCTTTCTGGCTCGACTTCTTTCGTTCTATCTGCACACGGATACCTCGGTCTTTCTTCTTGCTTTTATAGCTTCCTTCGTGATTTTCACATATGCTGTTCCGGTGCTTTTGACCCGCCTGTATTCCGTTCTTCTCGATTTGGCAGCATCTGTTGAGATCCGATATCACGATACCATATACAACGACGTGATGCAATGGGCGTCTCAAGTACCTGCGTTAAGGGACGCGCGGAAATCGATCGCCGGTACCAAGAATAATTTCGTCTCTCCGTGGGAGAAGGACGAGCCAAAAACTGGCTGGCAGGAGCTTTCTAAGGAAGAACTTCAGCAGTTTGACGACGACCCACGAGATTTCTGGGTCAAAATTAGACAACTCAAGAGATATTTGCCTATTCGATACACACCTGCACCTGCTGGCTTTCACTTCTTCTTTCATCGAGGGTATCTTCTCGGGTTCCGTCGTCAGCCATACAAGGATGCCGGCAGCCCTTGGACTGATCATCGCGAGAAACTATATCTCTACGCGTGGCGTCAGTCCGTTCTCAGAGATCTGTTGGACGAGATACAGGGGATTGCTGAGAAAAGGAACGACGATCTTATACGCGTTAACCAAGCATTAAAGGATGGAATGGTTCCTCAGTGGGCCGGGCTACCATCCAAAAGACCACGACCTCTCTCGACTGTTATTGTCGAACCCGATATCAAGCGCGCAATTATCGCCGATTTGACTGACTTCCTCCAACCGCGCACTCGTTCCTGGTATCACGAACGTGGTATTCCATACCGACGGGGGTATCTCTTCCAAGGCCCGCCTGGTACCGGTAAATCGAGTCTTTGCCTTGCTATTGCGGG